TACATTATTGTTCGCATGTAGTTCGTACGCCGAAATAATTTTGTCTCTCACTCCTGGTAACTGCGTTTGCAAATCAGCATGGCAGCGTCCATGCAGAAGCAACCGCCCACGTTTCGGGCGCGTCGGGTCCTCCTTCGATTCAACAAATAAAGAGAAAAAAAACATTGCAGTGGGAGAAGGAACGCGTCGACGGAGAAGCAGTTATGCGAGAGCCACGATAAGCGACGGAATGAACGGGCACAAAGTGAAGTTATCTGCAGGCATGACACCTACCGATCTTCAGCATGCAGAGCAGCAAATCCATGCTTCAAGTTCCTGGCGTGACCTGCTTGTTTTACAGTTTTACTATATTTTTTTGAGTTAACAAACCAGCCTTATCTGAAGTTAGTGTGTATAGACGATTAGGTGAGCAGATGCCGTAAAGACGGTGAGCAGAGGACATGGCGCGAATGAATAGACGGGGAGAGGGCTGATCGCCCTTTCTATTCGCTTAGGAGCCCTGTATTCTCCACAGTACTGAAGGTGAGGCACCAAGGCGCCTTGGATCACCAGCGAAACGAAGCAGACGCCAGCGCAAGCCACGGCGCCATTTACCCCATGCCTCGCATAATTTAGAATTTGGCCCACGGGCTGCATCCCATACGTTTTACCCAGTGCAGCCTGTGTTGGACCCACTTCTCAAACTCTTCTGATCATGTGAACGCAAAAGCAACCTAAGCAACGAAGCTCGGGGACCCAGTGTCTTGGGCCCCAATTCTCAAACTGTTTAATGTCACTTTATCCTCTGGTGTTTTCCACACGGCTCGGGCGCCATGCGCCAGGAGCGAGCGAAGAATGTTCATTCGGTCCAGCAAAACGTGATAATAATGAGCACGGGCTAATCCCACGACGGCACGGACAGGTCTAGCTTGCATGCGCGATCACGGGCCCACTCGACAGCCAGCATTCAGTCTTCATAGGCCGTGACTTCACCAGCGCATCCCACTCTTCCTTGTGAACCTAGGGCCCAACGACCCGCACTCCCAAAGCATACGACATAAAGTAGCAGCCTCGCCACAGGCTGACCAAGAGCTATTGGGGTAAATGTCTGGATATATGCTATTCTGGTTCACCGGATTAGGGTATGAGTTAGTTTGCAGGCGTCTGAGCACCAGGAGCCTTTCTGTGACTACTCGCGTGCGCGAATATGAGGAGGCGCATACCAACGAGTACTTTTCCGTGGATCCATGCGCGATCGCCAATCCCAGGCCTTTTGCACGTGTCTCATGCCCATTTATTTATGAGATCTTGCAGATGAAGGCGTGGCCCACTATAGGAAATGCAAGGGAAATGCGAAACAGACGCACACTGAGTGCTATGTGCGAGTGTGATGGTTTTTTGCTTACGTGAGGAGTATTTTTTTGCTCACGGGTATGTCACGCGTCCGGCATCCACACTCACACTACGGATGCACGAATCCCTCCCGTCCCTCTCTTCAACAGCTGCGCATTACTCCCTCCACTCTTCTCTTAAGACGCCATGGAGAGGAGTGATGCCCAGGGGAGAGGGTGACCGAGCATAGGTCAGCAGACGCAGGGAGTGTCTCCTTATAAAGTGTATTCACACTTAAAACATTTTGGTTCAGCACTACCAAAGCTATGGGGTGTAAGAAAGCCACACAGTTGCGCATAAAAACATCATCTCATATATATTATGTGCCTCAAAGTTGACCGGGTTGACTAAAATTGGAGTTTGTTTGGTGTATGTCACGCGACATTGTTATGTGATACATTTATTGTTCGCATGTAGTTCGTACGCCGGAAATAATTTTTGTCTCTCACTCCCGGTAACTGCGTTTGCAAATCAGCATGGCAGCGTCCATGCAGAAGCAACCGCCCACGTTTCGTGCGCGTCGGGTCCTCCTTCGATTCAACAAATAAAGAGAAAAAAAAACATTGCAGTGGGAGAAGGAACGCGTCGACGGAGAAGCAGTTATGCGAGAGCCACGATAAGCGACGGAATGAAACGGGCACAAAGTGAAGTTATCTGCAGGCATGAGCACCTACCGATCTTCAGCATGCAGAGCAGCAAATCCATGCTTCAAGTTCCTGGCGTGACTGCTTGTTTTACAGTTTTACTATATTTTTTTGAGTTAACAAACCAGCCTTATCTGAAGTTAGTGTGTATAGACGATTAGGTGAGCAGATGCCGTAAAGACGGTGAGCAGAGGACATGGCGCGAATGAATAGACGGGGAGAGGCTGATCGCCTTTTCTATTCGCTTAGGAGCCCTGTATTCTCCACAGTACTGAAAGGTGAGGCACCAAGGCGCCTTGGATCACCAGCGAAACGAAGCAGACGCAGCGCAAGCCACGGCGCCATTTACCCCATGCCTCGCATAATTTAGAATTTGGCCACGGGCTGCATCCCATACGTTTTACCCAGTGCAGCCTGTGTTGGACCCACTTCTCAAACTCTTCTGATCATGTGAACGCAAAAGCAACCTAAGCAACGAAGCTCGGGGACCCAGTGTCTTGGGCCCCTAATTCTCAAACTGTTTAATGTCACTTTATCCTCTGGTGTTTTCCAACACGGCTCGGGCCGCCATGCGCCAGGAGCGAGCGAAGAAGGTTTCATTCGGTCCAGCAAAACGTGATAAAATGAGCACGGGCTAATCCCACGACGGCACGGACAGGTCTAGCTTGCATGCGCGATCACGGGCCCACTCGACAGCCAGCATTCAGTCTTCATGGCCGTGACTTCACCAGCGCATCCCACTCTTCCTTGGTGAACCTAGGGCCCAACGACCCGCACTCCCAAAGCATACGACATAAAGTAGCAGCCTCGCCACAGGCTGACCAAGAGCTATTGGGGTAAATGTCTGGATATATGCTATTCTGGTTCACCGGATTAGGGTATGAGTTAGTTTGCAGGAGTCTGAGCACCAGGAGCCTTTCTGTGACTACTCGCGTGCGCGAATATGAGGAGCGCATACCAACGAGTACTTTTCCGTGGATCCATGCGCGATCGCCAATCCCAGGCCTTTTGCACGTGTCTCATGCCCATTTATTTATGAGATCTTGCAGATGAAGGCGTGGCCCACTATAGGGAAATGCAAGGGAAATGCGAAACAGACGCACACTGAGTGCTATGTGCGAGTGTGATGGTTTTTTGCTTACGTGAGGAGTATTTTTTTGCTCACGGGTATGTCACGCGTCCGGCATCCACACTCACACTACGGATGCACGAATCCCTCCCGTCCCTCTCTTCAACAGCTGCGCATTACTCCCTCCACTCTTCTCTTAAGACGCCATGGAGAGGAGTGATGCCCAGGGGAGAGGGTGACCGAGCATAGGTCAGCAGACGCAGGGAGTGTCTCCTGACGTACGCTCACTTCCCCTCTTCCCTAGGCCTTCCTCCCTGCGGCGCCTCGCAGAACCTACGCAGGCTGCGTCAGCTAGCGACTTTCTTGATTGAAAAAAAAAACGATTGCTGGTGCTCCACAATCCTTCACTGGCCATCCATTATTATGGCAATCCTTCACTGGCTTCCCCTGAAATATAAGCACTGGATCTCTACCTTCAAAGTAGTGCTTTCGGAAGATGTTTCCTGTGGGCTATTCAACAATAAAAACTCGCAGCGTGCGTGTTAAATGAAAGTTCCAGCAACTCCCTGAAGGAAACCATGGGGCGACGCGGGACATCGCGGATGTCTCCAACGCAACAGTCACGCGATGCGTGATAACAAGCTAAGTTATAGCAATAACACGCAATGTTCACCGCAAAGGTTATATTGCAAACCGGTAAACACCTCTTAAAAACTCCCCGTGGTGCTCCGCACCACCCCAAGTTCCCCTTCGTGGAGATGGTGTAATTTTTTTCGGTCCGCTGCATAGTACCTCTATCCAACAAACTACTTTTTGCCCTGCAGAGTCAGATGATTCTAGCGCCACCACCGCGGAGGACCTCTATGACAGTAGTGGACCTTCATCATCTACACCAGACGCCACAATAGTCATAAGAACGGCTTCAGAGATGCCGCACACAGGAGGCAGTCGAAGAGTAACGGCACAGGCGATTTCTACCTCAGCATCCACAGGTAGCTGTACATTTTGTGATTTTTTGTCATGGGTCTTCACGTTTTCATGCACAGAGCTGAATTTCTGGTGGGAAACAGTTTTATTAGGAAATATTGATGAAATGTTTTTCAAAGTATACTTTTCTTGCAATAAACAAAAACTTGCAATAATAATTCATAAACTATGAGGTAGTTACTTCTGGTGAATATACAGCTGTTCACTTCTATAGCCCTTAGCGTTAGCTACGCATATAACTTGCTCTCCTGCATTATCAAAGCAATAAGTACAGGATATCTATAAACATATCTTGGGTCTGCCACCTAGCACGCCTTGAGGATGATAGCAGTCCAAAGAAAGCAAACATAATGTGTCGCATTCAACTCTAAACGAAGTGGCGTCGTCTCTGACAGATTTTTAAAAAGTTTAGACTATGGCCATTTATAATCCAACATGCAGGACTCACTTGTTTCAAGAGGGAAAATAAAATAAGACAAAGTGGTTACCTGGGGTAACCTCCGTGCTCGAAAGAGTTGAAGTGTCTTATAGCGCGAAGTGTTGTAACTGCATTCGAATATACGGGTGTGTAGTAATGTCTACATAGACCGGGATGTGGCCATCCACTGCGAATGTGATAAAAATTGTCACTTTTATCATGCCCAACCACACGTCTATTGCTTCATGAAATAATGTGTGTTCATGTGCTTCACGTTGCTGACGAATTCGCCCTCACACAACCGATAGTTAACATCTCAGTTCACTAAACCGGTAGAGCGCACATTGCGGAAAGGCATTGGTCCCAGGTCCGATCACCGGATTAAGACGAATTTTTCGGCAACTAGGAAGCCTTCTTTCTAAGAAACCCACACGGACTTCCTCGCGCCATCACACCAAGCGGTTGCCAATTTTCACCCATGAACGTAGAATTCAACATGCGATATTGGTACTTGCATGGCCCTGCACTTTTTCGGTGGCAGCTCCCTCCGGAGGCTCGGAACTGAGAAGTTCCTGAATCTTGGCTTCGAGGGTGTTCGGATCGGCGCCTCGCATGGTGGTCAGCTTCGCCTTGGCCCGGAAGAAAATGAACGTCGGCACGGCGCTTACGCCGTGGGCAGCGGCGATGTCTTGACATTGGTCAATGTCCACCTTCAAGAACACTGCCTGCGTGTACTTGTTGCTTAGGGACTCGAACACCGGTGCCATCCTTTGACAGGGTCCACACCTGCAATACAAAAAAAGAAAAGAAAAATATGTTACAACCAGATACCGCAAGTACGCTAATTTGATCAGGCTAATGTTAGTTCGGAACTATCAATCGACGTGTGATGGTGTCGTAACCGCATCGATAAAACTGCGATGTCTACGACGGTTTCGTAAAAGTAATCAGAAGATGGGATGCTCAGTGTACCTGTTTACTTATTAAAGAAAATAAAAAAAAAAACACGGAGTTGCGAAGAAGCGCACTAGCTGCTAGCGAGACGATTAGCGAACCATGCAATGACAGGACACTGCAAACACGCCCTAAAATAAAAATACACGCCAAGAGAAGAACTTGACTGCATTCACAAGTGTTAACGACGTCAACAAGCCTGCAGAGTAAGTGACTTAGGCACACAATGATTCATTGACGGTAATGTAGCGCGACGGCTTGCCCATGATGTCAGCACCTTTGGACATAGTGGCGCGTGTCGGTAACGCAGCGCTAGAACTATCCCCTTACCAACTCGCCGTAAAATCCACTATGACAAGGCTGGCTCCAGAGTTGGACAGTTCGGCTTGAAAACGCGCATCGTCGGTCACTTGTTTCACTGGCATCTTGGAAAGAAATACCCGATATTCGATGAAAAGCACACGGCAGAGCGTCGAGAAAACCGGCGGACAGACAGTTTTGCAGAACGCGACGCCACAACGGCCACACGAGGAACTACTCATAAGCGAAAATGTAGTTTCGGTTTGTATTTTATGTAGGAACATATTCATCAGCCTAAGATATTTTTTTACCTGCTGTCCTGCGTATTTAGGTGAAATTCGCATATTGTAAAATGTAACAAAATTGTACCAGCAAAGGAGGAGTAGAGATACATACATACAAAGAACTTCAGAGGGACTGGTTGAACGAACTCCTAAGACCCCCTCAACCTGTGGGCGGCTCCACCCAGGTAGGCACAGAAAGGTAAAGACCCTCCGCGGTGGCCCGGGTCCTCCGACAGCCAGCCTTTGTAGATACAAATCCGGGCTGTGTAAGCCTATACAAGTTATTTTTTCAGTAAACTACACGGGCTACACTAAAGCACAATCTGAAGACGGCCGGAACTAAACACAGTGAAACGGTGCTAGATCCATCTTACTGCTTACCCGTACCCAATGAAAAAAGAATGAAAGGTCCCAATAAATCAACAAGCCTTTTATTCAGCCACAGGAGCGTACCCAGAACGGGCAGGTGCTTTTACCACGTCGACAGTAAAGCACATGGCGCTCGCGTTCAGTTTTTTTTTTTTTTAACGTTAACCTGCAACGCCAATGTAACAAAAACCTTTTATTCAGCAACAGGAGCGTACCCAGAACGGGCCGGTGCTTTTACTACGTCGACAGTAAAGCACTTAGTGCTCGCGTTCAGTTTTTTTTTAACGTTAACCAGCAACGCCAATGTAACAAAGGAAAAAAACAAAAAAAAAGGGTCCCAAGCTTGCTTTGTTCGTCGGAGTCCGAGGAAGTTCACCTTGGCCATGCATCACTTCCTTGTAACTTCAGGGACACTCCGATCCATAACCCTGGCCGGTCAGCTTGGTCTTGGCGCGCTCGTCTTGCAACACCGACGAGGAAGATGAAGTAAAAAAAAAAAATGGAGGGCGAATGAAGGCTCGAGCCGGCTCACCCCTGAAGAGCCGGCCGCCGCGTCATTCTTCGTTTCCCTCGGTGGTGGCGGTCTTCTTGTTCGGCTCGATGTCGTACTCTTTGAGGAGGTCGTTGAACATGGCACGCTGTTTGTCCCTGGTGGCCTCGAACACAGTCTCGTACTTGCCCTTGGCCAGGAGCACCACGCTCCTCAGGTCTTCCGGGGACATGATTTTCTCTAGCTTCTCGTGCAGACGCTCAAGGAGACGCGACACCTGTACCTTTCGCAGGCGGTTGTAGTCGAGGTCGGCAAGCATGAGCCTGTAGCTGCATTCGTCCAAGATGCGCATCACGTGCCGGGTGTTCTTGATGCTGCGGCTTTCGACGCGGTAGGCTCGTGGCACGACCCGCATAGCACGGCAACGCATCAGGAACGCCGCGTTGTTGGCGTACGAGGCGAGGTCAAACATGGAGCGGAAGTAGCGGTTCACCATCTCCATGGGGCGGCGGCCGTAGGTCTTTCGCAGGTGCCGCTTCAGCGACGATGGGCTCGCATGCGGTTGCTGCTGCTGCTTGTTAGACGACGTCTCGCTCATCTCGGTCTTATCAAGTGCGCTCGTCTCCAGAGTGTCGCCAGCCGCCTTGTTAGACTCCTCGGGCATGGTAGTACCGACTCACTCTCGCTGCTAGGGGCGGTTCCCGAATTCCGAACGGACGCCGCACGAGACACTGCCAACGTTGCAGGCGCAGAGCGTGCTGAGCGTGCTGCGCTTGTTCCACCCGCCACGAGAGGCACTGCCGCTGTGGATGGCCGTGCGCAGGCTTGCAACGTGCATTGATAAGTACTTGGAAGCCGTTCGTAAATGTGACGGTGACACGGTGAGGGCTATTTTTAAAATTTTTTTTTTTTTGCCGAGCTGCGCTTTTTTTTTTTGGGCAGAACGCGGCAGCGCCTTCCTATGATAAATGCACTGCTTCTTCGCGAAGAACAGATTTGAATCGGCGCTTGTACTCGGTCGCGTTCTCTGCTTGCGTGCCATCTGGCCGGCTGTAATATACTCCTCTCTTATATCCTCTTTTTTTTTTTGAGAAAAAAAAATCCTGGTGCAGAGAGCCGGTTCAGAAACCACCTGTGACCTTCGTTTACCGATGTATGATAGTTGACTATATAGAAACAACCTTAAAATATTGTAACTGACGAAGACGAAGACCATTATTACGTTCATTCAAATGCCTGCATTCAACATATGAAATATATCGACTCCCTTTGCCTACTTTCATCATACAGAATATAGAAGAAAACTCACTTGGTTGACCTGTTGAGAGTCAACAGCAGGTAATTTTGGAACACATGGGATGGAAGGAGGAATGGGATGAACTTCATTAGGTCTTTCAAAACGCGCTTTAGCACTTTGTGGGCCACTGCGACATAGGAACAGAAAGATCAAGTCTTCCTGCTGCGTCGCAGACCCGTTGTACTGCCCATAGCTGTTCCGTGTCATAGAGCACGGGAAGACACCGCTAATTTGTTGTATGTCCTTCCCCCCACCCCTATAAGGCACTGCGCCGTGTCGCCTGAAGGCAGACAGAAATTAGGTGCCTTTTTCCATTTTCATTCTAACCACTACTACCACCACCACCCCGATGGAGTTCGGTTGTAAGGTATTGCCATGAGCGTGCTACGAAAAGATGGAGACGACAGCACAAATGCGTATATGCTTCATACACCAGGCGGAGAGAGAAATAAGATGGACGGACGAAAAAAAAAACATTATTGAAAAAATGGTAGATCCCTTGTGCATTAGGAATCGATTGATATACGAAGCACGAATGAGGTAGGTTGATATGTCATTTTAAAATCAGTACGTTACGAGGCCGACGTACATTGTGCTGTACATGACTTCCATGTCATGATTGTCTTGTTTGGACATGTCATTTATCTTCGTCGTCTATTCACGTCACGTGATACCAAATTTGGTATATGCGGACATGGCCTCCTATATTTTTCTGCACCGCCGCGGTGGTCTAGTGGCTAAGGTACTCGGCTGCTGACCCGCAGGCCGCGGGATCGAATCCCGGCTGCGGCGGCTGCATTTCCGATGGAGGCGGAAATGTTGTAGGCCCGCGTGCTCAGATTTGGGTGCACGTTAAAGAACCCCAGGCGGTCGAAATTTCCGGAGCCCTCCACTACGGCGTCTCTCATAATCATATCGTGGTTTTGGGACGTTAAACCCCACATATCAATCAATCCTATATTTTTCTTGCTTGCCGGATGAGCGCGAAACGCCTGTCATCTACGGCGGCGCTACCTACGCAGGGATAAGGGTATTTGTACTTGGCCTTTAAGACCGGCAAATTTGGCGTTTGCTAATTTCAGAAGCTATGCCTTGCATTGAAGGGGTTGCCTGCTGAATGAACGCAGAACGCCCGCCATCTATGACGGCCGTCACTTACGTTGGGTTAATCAAAATTATTTTTAATTAAGTTTACGCCTTTTTAAATTTTAAAGTGTTTTGTGTTGCATATAAGCTCCAACAACGTAAAAATTTACTTAAAGACAACCTTACTTAAGTGGCACCATCACCGCAGTTCCGATGACGGCCGCTTCTCAAGTGACCGCCGATAATCCGGCAGGCAAGGGAAATCTAGGAGGCTGTGATGTGGAGCTAAAGAAACGGCCGCGAGCGCGCTGTTAGCGTAGCATGCAGTCATGCTTTACATAAAACGCATGTTATGATTATCATGTTTGCACCAGTCATATACTTTCGTCAACCATTCACGTCACGTAACACCAAACTCTGGTATATGTGAAGCTAGCGAAATGGCCGCGAGCGTACTATGAGCGTAGCTTGTAGTCATGATTTACAAGACAATCATGTAACGGTTGTCATGTTTGCACCAGTCATATATCTTCGTCATCCATTCACTACACGTAATACCAGATTTGATATCGGTGAAGCTAGCGAAACGACCGTGAACGCATCATGAGCGTGGCATGTAGACATGTTCTTACATGACACGCATGTCATGATTTCCACGCGAGGGCCTGTCCTTTATGTTCGCCACGCAGTCATGTCATACCATACCAGTTTTGCGATGTGTCATGTGAACGAAACCTCTGCAGGAGCAGCAAGAGCATGACATGTAAATCATGGCATTCATGAAATATGTGCTACAATTTTCATGTTATGACTAGCAAATTATGCTCATCATAGAGTCCTCTTATGCCATAGCAATTGTGGAATAGATCCCGTTATTCAAACAGCAAGGAGAGCTAAATATGTTGTAGGTGGATAGATAGATAGATAAATAGATAGATAATAGATAGATAGATAGATAGATAGATATGGTCAAACTCACCGAAGTTCGCTAAGAAACGCTTGGCATTAAAAAAAATATAAGCCCTGCAAGGTTACCAGCCCGGACTCAGGTCATCCGGACATTTTTTTTTTTTTTTTTTTGCGGTGAGGCAGAGCCTTTCCATCCCTGTCCAGGCCCGCTGAATTGCCCACATCTGGTCGTGCAGATCTGAGCTAGTCAGCGTACTTAGCCGTCGCTTCCTAAAAAAAAAAAAACAAAAAAACTCCCAAGCATTTCCCCGAGGGTGAACATGGTTAAGTGCGAATACACGGGGTGATGCTATGAGGGGTATTTATTAATTCGCACTATTATATTTATTAATCACACTATGGTGCCTTTATGGTGTAATGGTTCCTGGGAATCGCAATTTGATCACACGGCGGTGTTTACGTTAACTCACTGGCGAATGCCAACGGATTTTAACTTTACTCCCCCTCACGACCCGCTCTCGACGGGAGACTGAGAGAGAAGGTGGGCGTGCGAGAGAGAGGGGTGCGCGCGCAGCTGCGGCGAGCGAGGAGAGCGGAGGAGCGAGCGAAGGGGGAGGGGGTATAAGGCGCGTTACTGACACCGATATCAGCGTCGCGTCCGTGGCTTATTCGGTAGAGCGTCGCGCTGCGGCCCGCCAAGTCCTCTTTCTTTTAAAGATAGAGAGAAGACTGCGGACGCCGCCGACGGCGGTGGATGGTTTGGGGTCGCTTATAAAGTGTATTCACACTTAAAAGCTCCGGTCCTATGTTGTATTCGCGGTATATCTGTGGGGCGCGGTATTGAAAAAAAAAATTCTTTATCTGCGCATTACGACCTCTGTCTTGATGTCAGGCCCGTTCCCGAGGGGGCTGGGAGGAGCGAGCTAGGTGCTTGTCCCTCCCCCAAAATTCGAATGGGTTTTAATGTGGACAAATAATAAAAATATGGGTTTTTCAGGGTCTTCAATAACAGCCCACCCTCTCCCTCCCAAAACTTCCTGGCTATACGGGCGTGCCGGACGTTGTGATAATATTCTGTGGAGTGTCCTACCTGCAAACTGCATCTAATTTTACGAATCACGATGCATTACGTTTCTCTTTTGGCTTTCCAAAGTTACCCCACCGTGGTGGTCTAGTCGGCTGCTGACATGCAGGTCGCGTGATCAAATCCCGGCTGAGGTGGCTGCACTTTCGATGGAGGCGAAAATGCTGTAAGCCCGTGTGCTCAGATTTGGGTGAACGTTCAAGAACCCCAGGTGGTCACGATTAGCGTCTTTAATACTTATATGGGGATTTTGGGACGTTCAACCCCACATATCATCAGTTGGCTTTCCAAAGTTAGTAGTGAACAATGTTTTCTCTTGTTATACAGATGCACCTCCTTATTTAAACTATAGAAGCCACCGCAGTGCCATATAGTGACAGTGATCAGCTGCCACGGATGCCGACAGAGGGGTGAAAAGGGGCACTTGAACTCCATAAGCCACGCCATTACTCGCCCTCCCCCCTCCCACGCCGCTGTGCAACACAGGTTTAAATACTCCACGACGAAATCCTGCCGTTGCCCATGTCTACTGCTGACCCGAAATAAGCTGGTTCGATACCGCTCGTGGCGATAGCGCATTCGATGGAGGCGATATGCCATAGGCCCATGCATATGGGTGCACTGAGCGATGTCACTGCAAATTATAAAACATAAGGTGGTCAAAATCACACGGCATATCTCATAGCCCGAGTCGCTAGATATTCATAGCTCAAACATTTCTGAATATCTATTTAAAGGGGGCCCTGCAACACTTGTTGAGCAAGGTCAGAAAACGCGGCCAATCGGTAGTCGAGGCTCACGAGAACACGTGAGCCAAATATTAAAGCGCCCCACGTGGCCTGGAGTTAACAGTAAATTATTACAGCTAAAAATTACTCCACTTTCTCTCGACAAATGATGCTCACGTGTTAAAAAAAAGGAGAAAGAGAAAAAGGCTCAATGTCAGGAGGCGCGCGTGACGTATACCTTCTTCCGCCATTCTATCCCACCCTGCTAGTTTTCGGCGCTTCTGTCGGGACAACATAAGAAAGACAAAAATTACAGAGTGTGACAAATATTTGTCGGAAGTGGCCTACCTTTACATAAGAAAGTAGCGAGTCGATCTAGAAATGTACGCAGACGAGCAACCTTCGCGATTATGGTATACAGCTCCTGCTAGCTGGTTCAATGGGGCCACACAAGTCGGAGCTTGGAATCCCAGCATCAACGTCTTAGACGACGCCAGTGATGATGTCAGAGCCTACTCGGATGTAGGAGCAGACGTTCATTCCATCCAGCTCTGTCACGTTTCTTAGTGCATTCAGCGAGGTTGCATGCAGAACATTCAACTAGCCACGATGTTCTCACGCGGCTTCACTCGGATATCTATGATTTCGTCTGGCACCAGCCCATAGAGCAGCGCCGAAACAGACTGCCTGTTGAGGCGCTTCGTAATGCCGT